TCCTGAGCTCAGGACCCAGAGCTGGACACAGCACTCCAGGGGTGGCTGAGTCCAGGGGCAGAATCACTTCCCTGGCCCTGTTGGCCACCCTGTTCCTGAGCCAGGCCAGGATCCATTGGCCTTCTTGTCCCCCTGGGCACACTCTGGCTTCTGTTCAGCTTCCAATCCAAACTCCCAGCTCCCTCCCTGCCTGGATGTGCCAGGCTCTCCCAGCTCTTGCCTCCACACCAGACTGAGGTGGTCATTTCAAGTGTAAAAAAAAAAGCTATTGTCATTTGTCTCCTCTTATTTCCAGTGTAAAAGCTGCTGGCATTTCTCTCTTGGACCTCTCCCCACGAGGGGAGTCGTTCAGACTTGTTGCTCTGTGGTTCCTGTCAGAAACAGGAACGTTCTCCTTGGCAATATCCATCATTTACCGGTGGCCAAAGCAGGAAATCCTGCCACTTGCAGATTAAAACCAACCACTGGGTGTGCTGTGTTACTTCTGCCCTGATATCTCGGGTTTTTAGAGGCTTTTGTTGGGTCTGTTCTACAAGCCAGACCGTTCTAAGTTATTATTTCATTTCTGTGTAGCTGTCACACAGTTGTGTTGCTCCCTGGGCTCACACCCTGCCTGCTTTATTCCCTTTTTTTCCAGTGTGTTCACCGTGTCCTGAGGGGACTTTCTCCCCAGGAAGGAACGAGAAGTGTCAGCCTTGGACCAAGTAGGTGTCACTGATCCAGAGGTGTCCATCTTTACATCTTGAGCAGCTGATGCCCAAAAAAAATCAGGATGTGCAGAACAAACCTGCAGTAGGGGCAGTGAAAATTGTGTTCCTCGTGGCTCTCAGGAGCCTCGAGCAGCCTGTGCTGATTTGAAGCCTTTGGCCCTTTCTCTCCTCACCTCCAACCACAGAATTCTCAGCCTTTTTTGTAAAGATTTGTAATTTTTGTTTCTGTATTAAAGGTTCCCCTGGCCAGGTGCAGCTGTGCCTCGGGGCTGTTACCTGTCAGAAAATCCCAGTAGGATTGTTTTTCCACTAATAACTTTGATTGCCTCAGTTGTTCTCCACATCTCTGTGCACTCCAGGAAAAATAACCCCCTGAGTTTGTGCTGCTCAGACAAGGATTGTGGTGGATATAATTCAGAAAGTCATTGCAGCAAATGCTTGAAAATTCCCTCTGATTTTTGGTATTTTTATTTGCTATTTTTACTTGCTATTTTTACTGAGTATTTCTTTTTCCCAGCTGCAGCAGCCTTGGGAAAAGCACCCTTTGAGCAGGGACAGAGGCCCAGGATGCTTTGTTTGTGTCCAGAAGGTTCCTTGGCCAAATGCAGGGCTGTTACCTGTCAGAAAACCCCAGCAGGATTGTTTTTCCAGTAATAACTTTGATTTAGCTGTTCTTAAACATCTCAGTTGTTCTCCACATCTCTGTGCACTCCAGGAAAAATAACCCCCTGAGTTTGTGCTGCTCAGACAAGGATAGTGGTGGATATAATTCAGAAAGCCATTGCAGCAAATGCTTGAAAATTCCCACTGATTTTTGGTATTTTTATTTGCTATTTTTACTGAGTATTTCTTTTTCCCAGCTGCAGCAGCCTTGGGAAAAGCACCCT